ACATGGACCATTCCTACCTATCCATTTATTACTAAATTTTCTATTCAAGTAATTTCTCACTGAATATGAAAAATGTGCAGGTGCGCCATCTAATTGCATCCACATTTTTCTCCTTACATTTAAAGGGACGTCATCAAGAAGAACCCAAAATTCTTTTTTCAGAAATCTCAAAAATTTCCTGCCATTCAAAGAACCATCGAAAAAATAAGGACCGATTACGTGGTCACCAATACACGTTCAAACTCCACCGATTTTGACGATCAACGGTGTTGAACACTTGTCGGTTTTCAGTATCATAATAATGAAAGTTATGACGATTTACCAGGCCATTATTATGGAAAGTGAATTCATCCGTGAACAGCACAAAATTAAAAAAATTTGGTCCTTCTCCAATTCGCTCAAGAGCCCATAAGCAGAAGTCAATCCGTCGTTGAAAATCCGTGTCATACAAATTTTGGTGAAACTGGATGTGGAAGGGATGGTACTATGTTTTTTAAGAATTCTCCTCACACTGGTTCGGCTTATATCAGCTTCCCTGGCAATTTTTCTGGTACTAGTATTAGGATTTTCAACTACTAATCCTAACACCATGAACTCATTTTCTTCGTTGTCGGTTACCCGTTTTGGTTTCCTCTGCTTGTTGTAGGCAGTACCACCTGTTGCTCTAAATCTCGCCAGCAATCTTTCAAACACCTTTTTGTTTGGATGTATTCGATCAGGATATTTCTGTGCATATACTCTGGAAGCTAGAAAACAGTTCTCGTAGCATTCGCCAATAGTACTCATCATATCTACTCTTTCTGTAGTTAGAATAAACTTTCATGTTAACAATAACTAATACTATCCTAACATAGAACAAAATATTTTCACAAGACTCGAGATAAACGTTTTATGATTAGTGTAACTAAAATGTCAAATATGGCACAAGCCACCTTAACAAATTTTGTTCATTACCAGGAAATTCGATAAAAAACGAAACAGCACAAATATCTCCAATACCGTTAGAGATAGGTATAGGGAACCTATACACAGTTTGAAAGAGTTTTAAATTTCCTAACTCCCAAAGTAAAAATATACTGGGTGTTCCATTTAAAATAATCAAGTTATTGCTGTTTAAGGTTGAGAGAAGTATTCAGCAGTTTTTTGAACACCCTGTATAATACTAAGTGACGACAAATATAACAATTTATAACTTCAAGGATCTAAAATAGACCCTCCAAAGCTGCTTCCTTAAATTTATTTTTTTATTGCTAATATTAAATTTCTACGCTATGCCTGCATTTTCACTAAAATTGAAATATCTCACAAACTGTAAGTCCTAGGTATGCAGAACCTTTAATAAAGTTCACCTATTTTTTTACGGTGCTTTCAAAAATGCAGTAAAATACAGGGTGTTCCATTTAAAAAAACATAACTTTGATATGGTACGCTTCTCCTGGACACCTTGTATATTTCAAAATATTTTTAAAATGTAGCCGTAATCAACCTACACATACCCACCGAAACAGGTTTCTGTAACATTTGCCGTTTGGTCACTAGCGACCGAGGCGTTACTGGTGGCCCACCCTGTATATTAATGTTATAAATTTATGCGTGACAAGCACTGATCATCTCAGGTGACAATCAACCGTAACTCCCAAATATTTTGTGTACTAAATGTACGATATGTTCTAATAACATTAGGACATATCGTACATTTTTAGCTTTTACAATCTATGAATTATTAGTTTAGAATTACGAGACTGTCCTTCGTAGGTATTTGAAAATGGAATAATGTTACTTTTACTTTTATTAAGACTTGATAAACTAAAATGGAACCAGTTTTTAACATTAATTAGGTGATTTTGGACATACATACATACATACTTTATACATTTCCTCAAAAAGTTTCTTATGTATGTATGTATGCAATCACTATATTATCTGTACGTTAAATGATTCTATTCTTTTCAATCAAATATATTGTTTATATACAGGGTGTGCCATTTAACACTCCCGCTGTCAATAACTCCGAAATGAAGAAATTTATTTTAGTTCTGGAAACTGGGGTTGTTAGGACCCTCGAATAGCTTCAAATTGCAGTTAGAATTATTAGTTCAAATCTATCTGTATAGATGGCGTGGCGATACTAAACATTTTTTTGGTTCGTGGAACGTGGAAATGTGATCCATCTGAAATATCGTTAAATTTTGAATAATTTTGGTAATATAAAGTTTTTCCAATATTACTTGTTTGCAATGTAATGTAATCAAGCAATCTAAAAATGTTATTTTTGTGCCTTTATAGTAAAGGGTGTAAAAAAACTGGCATTATTGTGCTACAACTAGTCCGTCCCTGGCAAATCAAATAAGCCAAATTGTTTTTATGGGTCAAATTTTAACGAGTCTTATCTGTTGTCCTTCATATTAAAAAATAATTAAATTACATAAAGTAGGTATTTTAAAAGTTATTACAAAAAATCAATTTTCAGGGACATCCTTTAGGGGCCTGTATTTCCGTAGGGGGGGCCTCTAGGGAAAATTTTTATAGGAACTTGTAATGTTATTTTAACATCCCCTGCATCCCCTGTATAAATCCGAAAGTTTGCCCACATATTCTGGGACACCATGTATGTTAAGTACAATACTTCTAGTGGTAATATTTTCTTTTGTAATGTAAAATCATTAATGGTATGGAAGGCTTTAGTGAAATAAAGGAATACTGCAAAACAATTTTTATTACAGTCTAACAATTTTTTTTTCAAGTTTTAGAAGTGTATTTTTAGTACCTACCACATTTTTTTAAACCAAATTGGTATATGGTTAAAAATGTTTTAGTAAAATATTAATGCAACATATTGGTTTATAATTGGTTGTTTGTGCTTTATCATCAGAGCATTTATACACATGACTCCTTTTGGAAATGACACCTTACGAAGATATTAAATTTAATACTGCAAAGATTTAGTAAAATGCAAATCATTTTTTTTTGTACGATAAGTAATAATAAATTAATAATATATCAAAATAGCGTTTAAAAACTAAGTTTTTCATTCAAACCTATAAAAAATAGTCAAAAGGGTTAAGATCCAGTGACCTGACTGGCGACGCACTATGGGTCAAACGGCATTTTTTTTATGTCAAAATCAAATATCTCGAAGAAGAATTAACGAATCGTTTTACATTTTTTTAATTAACGCTTATTTGATGCAGATCTAGGGAAAATTATTGCGAATGTCATCATCCCCTATTTTGGGGGTGGAAATGAAGGGTGAATAGGTGAAAAAAGTGAATATCGAATTTATTCGTTCAAAAATCTTGTATCTTCCATAAATACAGTGAAATTAAGACACATTTTGGTGGAATCAATGCTCAATTGAATCTAGTTAAGGAAAAATTAATGAAAATATTTTCATCACTATTTTATAGGTGGAAGTGAGGGGTGAGGGTGTGGAAAAAATGAAAATTAAAGAAAATATGCATAAAAGGTTTTTGTTGTCCCTGAACACGAATCACTAAAATAAAAAACCCTTTTTAGGAGCTGTTTTTATCATCCCTTGATTTAGGGGAAGAACTGAGGGATGGGGCATTTAATAATGAAATTCATCTGAAATATTACCAGTCTTTCAATTTACTGAACTTAAATATACAAATTATAAAAACAATACGTGTACAATATATTGTGTTCAGAGCTGTAATTTTAATGCCTTGTTATAAGACAAACTGCGTTTTGACACAGAAATGGATGTTTACTTACTGTAAGCATGCGCATTTTCTTACAGTAAGCTAACCAATTGATGTAAAAAATTAATTTTTTTTATTGTTATTTTAGGGGTACAAATAAGAAGCGAGGATATGAAGTATCAAAAATCAACAAAACAATCTCTTCACCCCTTATTCCTACCCTTAAAGCACGGACTAATAAAAAGCTACACTTAAAGTTTGACGACGAAAAAATAAACTTTTACGTATCTAGGGACCACAAAAACCCTCAACAAATACCTTCTTTGATTTTTTACATTCCACCCCTAACCCCAAATTGCCATTTCCCTGAAGTAAGGGATAATGATAAATCACCCTGAAATTTACAGATGATAAGAAAATGGTCTACCATGTTATTTAAGATCAGAGAATTGAAAGACTCTGGTAATATTTCAGATGAATTTTATTATTCAACCCCTTAATTCTTCCTCTTCAATTAAAAACAGCTCATGAAAAGGAGTTTTTTTTGTTTTAGTGATGCTTTTATTCGTGTTCAGCGACAACAAAAACATTTTATACATGTTTTCTTTAATTTTCATTTTTCCACACCCTCACCCCTAAAATAGGGATGAAAATATTTTCATAAATTTTTCCATAACTTGTTTCAACTGAGCATTGATTCCACCATAATGTGTCTTAATTTCACTGTATTTATCGAAGACATAAGATTTTTGAACGAAGAAAATCGATTTTCACTTTTCACGTATTCACCCTTCATTTCCACCCCCAAAATAGGGGATAATGACATTCGCAATAATTTTCCCTAAATCTGCATCAAATAAGCGTTAATTAAAAAAAATGTAAAACGATTCGTTAATTCTTCTTCGAGATATTTGATTTTGTCATAAAAAAATGCCGTTTGACCTATAGTGTCAGCTGTGCTCACATTTACTAAAAAATCTATCTTGAACATTTTTTTTGACAATAGGTTTGGGTATTCTCAACAGAACATTCAGTATAGCTAAGATATAATATTGGCACTTTGACGAGGCTCTCCATAAACTAATTCATAATAATTAACGAATGTACAAGAAAAAGAAAACATTTATGAAAAAACGATACACAGTTTTTTTGTATTATTTGTTTTGAACAGGAGGTCGATCAGCTTGCTTGCTAAAATCTTTAAGAGGCCGAGTTTGAAATTTTTTACAATAAAAGGCTGAAGTTGTCTCATTTTGGAGTTATTTAAAAAATAAAATATTTTAAGAGAATTGTTAAAATTAAACTCAACTTCTAATTCTAATTTTCCTATTCTTCCAGGGAGCGAAAGTATGGATCCCGCACCCAGAGAAAGTGTGGGAAGGTGCGGAGTTACTTGAAGATTACAAACCAAACAAGACGACTCTAAGCGTCGCGACAGACGAGAAGGAAAACAAGGTGCTGAACGTTAAGTCGGAGAAAGATCTGCCTTTCCTGAGGAACCCACCTATTCTTATAGGAGAAAATGATCTCACTTCCCTGTCGTATTTGCACGAGCCAGCGGTGCTGTACAATCTGCAGGTCAGATTTTGTCAGCACAGAGACATCTACACGTACTGTGGAATAGTTCTTGTGGCTATAAATCCATACGATGATCTTCCTATATATGGTAAGTCCTTGAATAATTTTGGGTCACTAAGTATCTTTAAAAGTAAAAAAAATATGTTATATTTATAAAACGATTATTTTTTAATAAAGTTCTTGTGTGGCACAATTTTAATAGTTATTCTCATATCTGGGATGATCTACAAAGAAGAAAAGATTTAAATGATGAACTATTTAAAGCTTACTACAACGACGAATAAAATGGACACTGACATATACAGGGTGTAACAAAATTATTGTTACAAACTTTGCCAGCAGGTAGAACACTTAGTAGAAATTAGTAGGGATACTTCATATAAAATAAAAAAATAAATAATATTTTCTTTAATATCTATTTTTTGAGAAATTCGAATTTATCGATGATTTCGTTGTATCTTCTAGAGGGCGCCACAAGCGACCTTTAGGACGCATTTAAACTGCCAAAACTTTTTTGTACCACCGTGTATTTTATTTTGGGCTGGAAAAATCTTTTCCTCTAACTTTTCTGCTCAAAAAAGGTATACCTAATATCTCTAAAGTCAACGGTTTTCAACAAAAACGCATTTAAATTTGTAAATGCCTAAAATAATGTGTTTAAGTTATTTTCAACTCCACTGAAATAAATATATTTTATGACAGGCCAATAATAGTTAGTTATTTTTTACATTTTTAGGTCGTTTAGTGTAGTATAACAACCCTAGGTTCGACAAAAAATAAGTAAACATAGTTGTGGCCGAAAATATGTGATCGTCATAAGGACTACCTACGTTGTGTGTATTTATTTTTTTTATTGACCGGAAGGCGCTGGCTACTAACTTTGTAGAGGGGATGTATGGTTTAATTATATAAAACAATAGCAGAGTAAATACACCTAACTTTATTATCTACATACAACAGTCTTCAAATTAAACATGTGACAAATATAAAGAACAACAAAAACATTAACAACCATTTAACATAGAATGAGAGTGCCAGGCTCACCTAGAGCTCCTGTGGGGAAAGAGCATGGCAGAGAAACCCACGATCGTTGCTCTTACCACCCAAATATAAATACAAAACAACCACTAACCAAAGGCATACATTAAGAACCTTTGCTAATGATAATTAAAACTGGACTTATTTAATTTCTCACTAAATGTCATCTCACTCAAGTCTGACATAAACACTTCCAAATAAAACTGAAGAGGTTTTAGTAACAATAATAGCAATAACAACAATAATAATGATAATAGCAATAATAATAGGGAAGGTACTGGAGCCCATACGGGAGGCAATCCAGCTATAGTTGAGATTTCAGGGGAACAACAACAATAATAATAATCATAGGTAAGGTACTGGAGTCCCATAATACGGGAGGCTATCCAGCTAAAGTTGAGATTTCGGGAGAACAACACAATAATAACAATAATAATAATCATGGGTGAAAATGTTAGTAAATTCAACAAAACTCTTACATACGTATGACATAAAGTGAGCACAAGAAATCAAAGAACAACGTAATCAAGACAAAACAAGTTAAATGTGAAACAAAGAAGCTGTTTTGCAATATCTGGGCAGACACGACAATATACATATTTAAACATGTAATAAATAATGAGCAATCTATAATAATAATTGTAACAATTTTATATTAGAAAAATATACGCCCCTGATCGTAAGACAATGAAAGCTAAACATACACAGAATTATGATCATGAAACATCTATATTTTACGCATAACGTAATCGTGGCAAAAACAAGTTAGATGTGAAACAAAGAAGTCGTTATTGTAATGTCTGGCAATCAGGTCAATACATATATTTTTAACATGAAATAAATAATGGGCAAACTTTAAGTATAATTATAACAATTTTACCTTGGAAAAATATATGCCCTTGACCATAAAGCAATGGAAGCTAAACTTACAAAGAATTATTATCATGAAACATCCATAATCATCACAATCATAAGATTATAGAACAATTAACGACAAAGTACTCAAAGAATATTACCTGCTAACTAATAACACTTTAAATAATTAACTTTTCACTACTTTGACACACTGCCCGCCGATCGTCTTGCTACCTATCTGCACACTGTTCTCACTTCAACTACCTATCTTCGACTCTCTTTGCCTCACTGCTCGCCGAACGTCTTACTACCCATCTGCCCACTTCAACTACAAGTATTTAACTAATTTGGCTTCCTTCCAGAATTGCCCCCCTAAGTGCTTGTTTTTTGTGCTTCCTTCTATCGACCGTTAATATTACTTTTTCATTGTTATACAACACCTATGTAACAGGTGACGTCGTAGTTATAAGATAAGTACGGTTTTGCACATTAGATTGGTTACGTTGTTTAGATTTTGTTAGATTGATAGATTGTTTTTAGAAAGTACCTGTTTTTTTACTCTGTGAATTCTGTTTGTAGTAAAATTGTAATTGCACTGTTTCCTTAAAAGTCATATTTCTTGCTAATAAGCGATTGCTCCTAATTTCGTTTATCAGTGTTGAAAATAATTTTTAAACACATTTTTTATGCATTTAAATTCAATAGTTTTCTGTTGAAAATGGTTGGCTTTAGATATTAAGAAGGTATACCTTTTTTAAGCAGAAAAGTTTTCGGAAAAGATTTTTCCAGCCCAAAGTGAAATACACCGTGGCACAAAACAGTTTTGGCAGTTTAAATGCTTCCTAATGATAGCTTATGACGCCCTCTAGAAGATACAACGAAATCGTCGATAAATTCGAATTTCTCATCCCAAAAAACGCCCGGATACGAAATTTCTCGAAATTAGCTCGAAATAGTCGAAAGATAATACTAAAGAAAATGTTATTTATTTTTTCGACTTCAGCACCCTGTATCTCACCAAAAATTTTCTTCACAAGTATTCTATCTGCTGGCGAAGTTTGTAACCTTATTTTTGTTACACCCTGTATTTCCAAATTTATCTTTTTTAATTAACTTAGTTTAGAATTGTATTTACTATTTTATTTTTTTAAGAGTTCCTTCATTGCTGATATTCATGTCCTAATTACATACAAAGTGAAATTTTCAATAATTTTAAGTAAAAAATTGTCATCTTCAGGCAAATACTAGAAACTACTATTTCCCAGGTAAAACATTTCATATTTCCAATTTTGGAGTTATATCAGCATTTCATCATTTTATCCCACAAATAATACGGTTTATCTTAAGAATGGAATTGATGTCATAATCACAAAGTGACGTTTGCATCAATCATTTTAGGTACACATTGTCATCTTCAGGCAAATACTGGAAACTACTATTTTTGAGTTAAAATGTTTTATTTTGAAATTATGTCGGCATTCCATCATTTTATGCCCCAAATGCGGATGGAATTTTCGAATTTGGTAGAAAAGTTTGTCTCTATTGAACAGGATACTAGATAATATTTAATTTTATACGTTTAGTTTGAATATACAGGGTGTTAAAAAAAGAGTGTAAAATATTTAAGGAGGTAATAGTATGAATCAAAATAAGCAGAAAAGTCTCAATAAACATATGGAATGTTTTATGTTTTTTAGCCCCTTCTTTTATTTTGCAAAAACGTTGTGTATTTTCTTATAATAGTTGGTTGATGTTTAGTGAAATAAACAGTACGTATTTGACAGTTGTTCTTAGTGCACAAGTTTTCTTTCGCTATGGCTGGTTACTCTAACGCAGAATTAACAGACATGCATTTCATGTATGGTCGTGCTAATGGGAACGCCACCGAAGCGCGACGTCTTTATGTTGACGCTTATCCAAATCGCCAGATTCCTTCACAACGCATGTTTGGAAGAACTCACCAAAGATTGCGTGATACCGGTTCCTTGAGCAAACAGTGCCATTTATCCGGAAGACCAAGGTCGGTATCCACTCCTAGAGCAGAAGAAGAAATTCTAGCACTGGTAGAGTAGAATCCAGGTACGAGTGTGCGGAGAATATCAGCCGATGTAGGAATTAGTGGTCCTCTTGTTTGGAGAATCCTTCACGAGCAACTGCTTTATCCATACCATGTGCAACGAGTGCAGGCCTTAAATCCAATAAATGATCATCAAGCACGTTTGGTTTTTTGCCGCTGGTTTCTACGTCATGATGCTGAACTCTCTCGTTTTCTTGCAAACATTCTTTTTACTGATGAGGCCGGATTCACAAGAAATGGAGTGTTTAATTTTCACAATACGCATATTTGGGCCGACGAAAATCCTCATGCTCTAATAGAATCTGGACATCAGGCACGTTTTTCATTAAACATTTGGATGGGTATTGTAGGTGACAGGATTCTAGGTCCTGTTGTTTTACCAAACCGATTAACAAGCGCTGCTTACCTCAACTTTCTGCAGAACACACTGTATGAGTTTTTGGAAGACATTCCTTTGGATCAGAGGCAACAAATGTGGTTCCAGCATGATGGTGCTCCAGCTCATTTTTCCATGGCCGTTAGAGAGCATTTACACCAAAAGGAAGGGCCGGACCTGTTTTATGGCCTCCACGATCGCCTGATCTGAACCCTCTAGATTTCTTTGTTTGGGGATATTTGAAGACATTAGTGTATGGTACTCCTGTAAATAGCCTGGAAGAGCTGCAGCTACGGATTAATCAAAAGTGTCAAGAAATCCAAACCAAGGAGGGTGAAAGAGTTCGAATATCGTTGACACTTTGAACATATTCTGTAACTTTGTTTTTTGTTTGTTAAAAGCTTCCTTTGTCGGTTTATTCCTAATAAAATAAAATGTTTGAAAAACGAATAGTGGTCCATATCTCCGCAACCGTTACTTTGTGGACCCATGTTTATTAAGACTTTTCTGCTTATTTTGGTTCATACTATTACCTCCTGAAATATTTTACACTCTTTTTTTAACACTCTGTATATGAACAACAAATTTTAGCTTGCTTTCGACTACATCTCTATCATTAAATAGTTAACTGATTAAAATAAAACTGCCTAGATTTGACTGGTAACATGAACTTTTTAATGGATCTTATGATTCATTCATTAAATGGGAACCCTTGTTGGCTATGGTCTAGAAATATAAAAAAAGTTTTATTGTTTGCCTATGCGTAATATACAGGGTGATTCAGAAAAAATAAATTGAAAGTACAGTACAAATACAATTTTGTAAAAAATTTAAAAAGGCACTTCTGCACGGCACTGGAATCTGGTCCACTGTAAAACTTGACCTTGTGCAAGGTAAAGCATGCAGCATAATTGAACAAAAAATTGAATTGAATATGGTTATTATTAATTATAAAATTAATTTGTAGTTTGAATTAATAAATTAAAAAAGTTAAATAACTATGATTGTATTTGCTGTAACTTATGTAACAACAATAAACTATACATATAGGTACATATGTCTATTAAAAATTAAAAATGTGTTAAAAAAGTGCATAAAACCGTTCAACACATTTAAAATTCTTTAACTTTGCTTCGAATTTTATCTAATGTCAGCAAACTTTTTGTTTAATTTTAATATTAAGAATCAAAGACCGAAAAGACGTTGTATTCATTGCCTCCTCTATTTTTTTTCTGATCTTGCCTATGATTCAAATATAGGGTGTTTTGGGCCAAATAATTCTTTTCTGTACTTTTCCACTCTTGTAAAATTTTTATTTAGAGCCTCGTCTATGGAGTATTGCCAAAATACTCTGATCATATATCAAAAATATATCGATCACGTATTCAAAGATCTCGAAATTTAAGCCCTAAACAAAAATTATACAGAAGTTACTAAAAACAACATAATTTGAACCATGGATATGCAAGCAAAGTTGAGGGGATAAATAGGTATTTATTTATTTATTTATAATATTATTTATTTATTATTTCAACCACCTTTCCTCCATTCTTGCTTCAATTTTTTTTAACTAAAATTGCCCAAAAATCATGCTGACACGAAATACAAGGCTGTACAAAGTTTTAATTGCAGGTTTTGGAAAAAACAACTTATTAGTATTTTTAAAAAGTCATATTGTTTTCTCCTAAATAATATGTGCTTAACGACTTTACCTACTTTCCTATAACATCCCGTAGGTATAGGTACAAAACAGTGTTTAAGTGGATAAGATCTTTTTCACGCCTTTATTATTAAAAACTGCCTAACAGTTTGAATTTATATCATTTTTTGTACTCTGTGTGTACTGTGATTTCCGGATTCTTATTACCACTACCACTTCTTCCACTTTTCTATCGAATTATTTTCAGTAAAGCTCACTGTTATTACTAACATTATTACCATGCCAAGCTATTAGTTTCTTTTACTAGCAGAAATTGTCAGAGATGCAAAAAAAATATTACAAAAATTGGCAATAATTAAATTTTATAGGAACATGTTTTCCGAAATAGGTTGAAAATACACGGTAATCCAGTATAAAAATAATGACAATGTTTAAGCTTTTTGCTTTAAAGATCTTATATTAAAGGTATAGAATGTTGAAGTTATACATTTTTGTACCTGCATATGCTACTAAATATTCATCCACATATTAGAGAATGTAACAATTAAAAAAGTTATTAAACATAATTTCTAAGATTTTCTGTTTTGATAACAGAGAATATTTGGCACTTAATTACTTACTAGTATCCAAAAATAGTACAAACATTTTATTCTTATTCATGTACTTATTAGATTTGTAAGCTCAATTAATTGATAAAAATATTACCCATAAAATGTTTCTTATATTACCTACCTTGTAAACATTAAATGAGTCACTCTTTACACCAGTCGATAACAACTATTTATAGTCCCCTAATTATCAGCAGTTTTATCAGCAATGAATCTGACATTGCAAGGTGTTCAGTGCAGCAGAGTTTATATTTTTATATCCCTAATCATATGGTTGTTTTCCCTTACCTTCTTTATATATGCACTTCAATTAAACAATCGTAAAATATAATCATTAAGAGAAGAGGCATTAATATAATATATTATTTTGTAAATCTGACATCAAAACGTTTGTATTAATTACGCAGGTCCACAGTTTCATCTATAAGACCCGTGCCACCCTATGTATTTCGATCGCTATGGGAAATACTACATAACCTTCCAGTTTATTTTTTAAATTACCAAAAACCAACCCTAAACCTAAAATGCATCACACTTTGCATTCAGCAGGTGTTTATATATAGTTTTTTTATATATAGTGACTTTTAGTTATTATTTTCTCTTTTGTGTTGCTCTTATTTATCTAGAGGATTTGTTTTTCTCATTATTTTTCTTCTAATTATTGGAAAATAATATTTAACAATTATTCTACTAATTTACCTCAACCGGTATGTGCAGTTTGATTCGCAACTGCCTTCAGAAGTTTTAGATCTATTATGGTTGCAGATAAACTTCTTTACATGGTTGTATCCAAAGAGAGACCTACTAAATGTAAAGTTGTAGCAAATGGATAATAGCAAATGGTTGTGGGGCTTAACTTACAAGACTTATTTTAATTTATATGTCGAGGATATGCCTACGGTATTGGGAGAGTGGATTGTACTGAGTACTGAGGGTTACGAATTTAGGTTCATGGTCTTTTAAATAAACTGGCGTCACTCATTTGTCCGCTGAATATCACTGTTTTCGGTCTGTATGTTCGTGGTTTGAATTTGTGACTTAAATCCCACGAATGTAGAATTTTAGCAATTTTTTAGATTTAATGAGTAATTTTCTATTGTGCACTTGAAACTGAAGAGTATACTTTGCAACGAGTCTCTCAAAATACGATCGTCTCTAAAACTTACTGATTTTTAAGGTTTACGGTTTCACCTGAAACTGTACTGTACATGGTGTCATTTACACTCAAATTATCTCTTTAATTACAATTTGATTAACATACACTTGCAAAATCCAGCAACATTCCGTGACCTCGGTCTTCCCATCCGATTTTATTTAGTAAAAATATAATCAATAAAGTAGTCGTTTCCTGCAATATCAACAGTTAGAAATCTAACTGTGAGGTTAGATATATTTTGCATACCTACATTTTTGGTATCAAAGAAAACTATTTGATTACATGTCTATTTTTCATAATGTTGAGTGAAAACAAAGTACGGACCTGAAATGTACGATTTACTCTCGGACCTTACTAACCGTAAATTGTTTCAGACACTGACACGATCCAGACCTATCGAGGTCAGGCAATGGGCGATCTGGATCCTCACATCTTCGCCGTTGCTGAGGAAGCTTACACCAAATTGGAGAGGGAACAGAGAGACCAGAGCATCATTGTGTCTGGGGAGAGTGGTGCTGGAAAGACAGTATCGGCGAAATATGCCATGAGGTATTTCGCTACTGTAGGCGGTAGTGCCACGGAAACACAGATTGAGAAGAAAGTTCTAGCCAGCAGTCCGATCATGGAAGTAGGTATAGTTCTGCCACTCCAGTATTAAAAACAAAAATAGAAGTAATAAAAAAACGTAGTATAACAAACTGTTACCAAAAATTAGATCAAACCAGCAATCGTGATTGTTTGGGCATACATGATTACTTATGTTTATTTTTCTCTACATATTCAATGTACAGAGTGCGCAAAATGAAAATTTAAAAAAATATATTTTTATTAGTAACTGTTTTCTTTGAAGATTCTCAAAATTTTATCTCATGCCGATACACTTTTTGTGTAATTTTAATAAAAAAAGTCTGAAGGGAGAAAAGAGAATTCTAAGAACCATATACCCCCACCCCCACCCCCATCTGGTTCTTCTTTTAAAGATATTGTTTTTTAGACTAAACATTTGTTTTATTTATCTTCGCCATCCATATCTAATTTTAATTTAAGTTTCGTTTCCCCTATGCATATTAATTTCTACGCTATGATTCATGATTACGCAGAAGTATATGGGTTAATTTTTGATTTCGGTTACAAATAATTAATTAGTATATGGTAAATACGTAGGTACATGAATGGAAAGTTTTTGTTTTAATAAAGTTATAAGAGCACTGATTCACTATTTCACATTTAACATTCACAAAACCAGTTATTTCATATAATATAAAACATTTTGTATTGTTATAAAACAATCAAAATAACTGTTAAAAATGTAAAGTCAACCAATATGTCAAATGTATAATGTACATGCTTCAGGAAGCAAAAAAGCTTACACAGGTTTATCTAACCGTTTTAAAACGGTGTTACTTGTTCAAAAATACCTTCCAACAGTAAAAATTACTATACTGTAATAAAATTAAATAGAAAAAACAGCTAAACTGAAACTTTTCTTTTCAAAAATTCAGTTATTTGCACATGAAATAAATAATAAAACTAACACACTTTTTAACTAAATGGCAAATATCGGAACTATATATGACAACGCTATCCTATCCAGAGAGCGCTTTTTCATACGTTTTAACTCTCTCTCTCTCTAATTTAACTTATTATTTATAGCTGAACTCGGTATTCTTACAAAAATTGGTATATTTCGAAATATCGACTTTGACAAGACCTTTGGTTAAACATACTACTTATTGATTTACTTAATTTAATTCTAGAAAGCCTGTGCCCATTTTTTGAAACGAGCTATCTTCGCTATCTTAAAAAAAGCGAGATCGGTCAAATTAGCAAAAATTGGGAAATTCGATAACAATTGACATGCCGAAACGAAATTTGACCTTAAATTGTTTAAAAAAAAACTTGAAATTTTGATCAAAACATTTCTATATATATTTTTGTAGGCTGCTATCGAGAACAAAATACTCTGCTAATATTCTAAACGAAATTTTAGCAGTTCAATTATATTTTCATTGGCAATGTCAAAGTTTAGAGAACTGAAAATGCAATTTCAACAAGGAGAATGATATTCATATGTACCTAATAGATTATTTAATTTGAAGAATATCCGGCTCTGGTTCATGTGAAAATTGTATTTTTATTTCCTTAAAGTTTAAATCTATCATTGACAACGAGAGCCAAGTTTTTAGTTTTCTGCCATTCGTTTTCACTATTATTCAATTGAAAGCACTATTTCGTTCTAAGGAAAAATAAATAAATATTTTTTCCCAATCCAATTGTGAAAGTAAGTTTATTGTTAGATTTATGGACAAGGATATCTTAAAGCTTATTATTATAAAACAATATATAAATAACGAATTGATTAGTACACATATCTAGAAACTTCACATTATCTCGTAAGCTATGTCCCAAAAAAAATTTAACATGAGTGATCAAGTAGAGACCCCAATAACAGAAATACATACCATAGGCGTACCTACACAAAAACAGGAGGGAATTTAATGTCTTATAACCCCTATCTTATTCATTCACGCTTCAATTTTTTTAATCAAAATTACAAAAATATGTGTCGGGTAAAAGTTTACAAACAATTCTAACCGAAAGTCTTAAAAAATATCACAGTTATTGATAAAATTTCTCTTCTAAGTTGTAATTTTCAAACTTTGTGTCCCGAAATGGAAATAGCATATGCAAAGTACAATTACTGAAAAAATTGTTGGAAATCTGTGGGTGCAATCAATAAAACTAGACATACAAATCTTATTTCTAAGAGAGGGTATGAAGAATATTTTATAAGTTGATTTACCGACATAAAATAAATGTTCCTTAGGCAACCAACAAAACACGCTTGCTTTGTATAAAGACTACAAGTAACAAGCACATTATATTGAATATTACTTTTACAGAAAGACAATATTAGAACTATTGCCCCAATATTTATAAAATGAATAATATGAAATATAATAAACTAAATAACTTTTTGGGACTTTGGGACTATAGTGGTTTATAATGGTGAAATTAAAACTACCTCAGTTGGTTATTAATGAATCGATAAACCAGTTTTGTATTTATGGAATATGATTTGCCCTAATATTAACAAAGAGCCTACATAAATGTTTACAAGCCACGTGACCGCCGGGCTTAGGCAACCAACATTGCACGGCTGGTAGTGTCAATTAAAAATCCCAAATTTTTAGCTTCACTAATATTATTGATTTATTTACAATGAACAATGAAAAATAAACCGCTACGTCTACGCTAGAAATAAAGCGATCGCTGATTGCTTGAATAGAATCTCGAGAAAAATTAAACGAATCACTAGCCGATAAACAGAATGTCGTGTTTTAATGTAAAATTGGATCTTATTGATTTAATAATTTTTAATTTTACTGAAATTTAATTGCCAACGTGAAGGAAATAAAATTACTGGTGAAGTGGCTTGTAATCATTTATAGAGGCCCTGTAGTATGAAATATGAATGAGCAAATACCTTTTCGGAATTGCTTCTTTTTCAATTAATAATAATTAGAAAGAATAATACTGCATTGTCCTCTGCTAATTTTATTTGCATTAACTTACCCATTTTTTATTATATTATTAGATGGAAATGTTATTTGGATATATCTACGGTTTTATCGAATTGTTTTAGGCTATTGGAAATGCCAAAACGACAAGGAACGACAACAGTTCAAGATTTGGAAAATTTATAGAATTACAGTTTAACAAGCAGTTTCATATTAATGGTGCCTCAATGCGAACTTATTTGTTAGAAAAATCAAGAGTTGTGTTTCAAGCTCCAGATGAAAGGAATTACCACATATTCTATCAAATTTGCTCAGCCAGGCAACGGTTACCTCATTTGCATTTAGGTAAGTGATTCTTGAAATATGTATCAGTTCAGCACAAACCGATAAGACAATTTAATCAGAACATATCGCCATTTCGAAATAATAATTTCTTATTTAGACATACAAAAGTAATGTCAAATAGAGCCGTTAACGATGTCAAGTAAGTACATGTTATATTATTCAACTGCTTCATAACCTATTTGACTATATTCTTCGAAATTACATACTAGGGTATGGTCCCTGGTAGCACAATCGTGAGCAATTCTAATACAAGTTGTTTCAAGTTTACTTGAAATAGCTAAATTGTGTCAGATTGTTTTGTGTCTATTGCTGAAATTTATATCGTTTCTTAAGCAAGATACTTTTACAATACTTGCACCAGACTTAACCAAAAGTACTTGAGTCCAAAGGGGTGAATTGGTATAAGTCAAGTACAATATGTCTTATTTAATTCTAATGTAAGTCTGCAACATAGTCACTTGCTTTAATTTACCCGTTTGTACTCAAGTGCTCTGAATCAAATCCATTGAAAGCTTTGATCAAAACAATGAATCTTGCAGTAAACCTGATGCTGATTTCAGCAGTAGGTACACAGCAGTCTTGTATACTCGTAAATGTCTTGTGGAAGATGTTGTAATTGTAATTTTAAGAATTTTTTAATTAAAAGTACAAAAATATTTAAAATAATTCGAAATTTTGTTGTTGTTGTTTTGTTTGTTGTTGTTTAAATAAATAAATAATAATATCCAATCACCTAGAAACTTATTTTAACTTTCACATTCACAAAAATAAATTTATTAGACAAAATAATACCGAAAGTGATAAAAATTTTATAAAAATAAGAAAAAGTATCGTTGGTTAAATTGACATATCTCGGTTGATTTTAATTGTACAAACTTCTCCCAGGCACCATTTTAAAGGTCTTGAAACCAGCTTTCATTTGAATATGGCATTACAAATGCCTAAATTAATTCAGAAAAAAGTTATTAGACGAAAATCGTCAAAAAAGGGCAAAAATTGGTCAAAACTTTGATCCAATGTATCTCGGTTTCTATTAGTCGTAGGTACTTTTATAAACGCTTATTTTAAAGGAAAAAACATTCACTTTTTTTTTCTGCAAAGCGATGCCTATACCTAACTCCTCTCAGAAAAAAGTTGTGGGCGAAAACCAAAAAAGAAATCGCATTTTTTCGGTTCTTATTTCGATGGGAAATTCAATTTGCTACTACTTATCTGTTGACAACTGCATAGTAAAACTCAAAAAACTGAAAATACCACATTTTTACTTCGTTCTCAAAAACGCACCCCTTTAAAAGGTAGCACCCCTCGGTTTTATCATTTTTTAGGCTCAATTGAACATATCAAACAATAAAATTTCTGTTACGTTGTAGTTCCTATCTAAAGTACCTACATAGTCAATAGCCTATTATATATAAGAGGAGTTGTACATATAAACGAATCTGTTCTTATCCTAAAATTCATAAAGTAACAAACATTAAGTACCTTGGAGTTATGATTGATCAGTGTCTACGCTGGACAGATCACATAGAATTCACAGTCAGGCAGCTTGGGAAACGGATACATAAATTTGACCAACTCAAACCAACCAACCAACTCATTGTAATAGATATCAAGCATATGCTTATGGTTTATGATGCATTGGTGGTGTCTGTAATGAGTTATTGTATAACTGTATGAGGTGGAGCATACAAATCAGTAATACATAATCTAGGGGTTTTACAAAATAGTATATTAAAAATTATTCCAAAAAAAGACAAACTTTACTGCACTGAAATGTTATACAAAGAAGCTAACGTGTTTAGTTTGAGACAGTTGTTCTCTTACCGGTGTTTACTATGGTTTTTTAATTCTGATATGTCTTACGCAACGAATACATATAATACTCGTGTTGTGGTCAATGTTTCTGCAAACATTCCTCTATGCAAAAAAAGTCATCCTCAGAGATTTTTAACATATCTTGGTCCTAAATTATTTAATTTATTACCTGAAACAATGAAAACTCTCAAAAAATATGTTTTGAAAAGAGAACTTAAAGCTTATATTATGGAAAACTTTAGTCAACTCAAGCTAGTTTGTGATTCATATATTTGCCCTCGGATTTTGGATTTTTATTTCTTATAAGAAGTCTCTCCTGGCATACTGTCCTACAATATCGTTCAGAAATTTCTGGTAAATTGATGAAAATACATTAATTTTTTTGGTGTAGTCATAGCAGTTATAAAACGCTTAGAAATTTTTTTTATATATGTATGAATCTCACGGCACAAGTTTTACTTAGGCGGGATTCATTCATTATTTTGGCTTGATATACGATATATATGGCTAGATATATGTTTTTAGGCTTATTGGATGTTCGGTATTGTGATATTTTTGTATTGAACTGTTTATTTCCTGGTGTACCCAATAAAATTCAAATTCAAATTTAAAGCATATCGTAAAAGATTATTATTAAATATTAGGTCATATAACAGGGATAGGTTTATTAAAAATAAATTTAACTAATCTTGAAATTGGAAAGGAACAATGAAACATCGGCTTGTTACTACAATTTTCTTACTTTATTCAACAGCAAAGCTATTCCTTCATACATGCAAAATAGTGCTTCACATTCTACTAGTTTCAAATTAGCCCCATTTTCTTCATCTTGATTGAAATTCTGCTACGAATAATGTGATAGGCGGTATACAGATACATACAACCTTTATCTGTTTGCTATTATCAGCTTTTGTGTTTTTATATTTGTAACATTATATATTCATGATGTTACTCCATTCTCAGGTATATCCCTTAGGGAGAGAAGTGGAGAGAATTGTTTTGCCTTATGTATAACATTAATCAATCCTTTCCAAGGACATACATTATTATTCAAATTGATTCTCTTAGGTAAAATGAAACGGTTGCAAGCAAAAAGGTACATCAAAATTTTTTACTAATTTTGTATAACAATCAATGTTTATTTTCTCTCAAATGAAAAAAAAACTCAATAAGTATCTGCTACTAATAACTTTTGGGGTTATTGTCTCAAATCAAAAATTAGTTATTTAAACCTTTTTGTTAGTTAAGCCACAGAGTACCACTCTGTGGTTAAGCTTGTAATACAAAATTACAGTCACGCATAATCATCACACTAGCATTGTTTTTTGAATTAAATTAATTTTAATTACTGCCCCCCTAACAAATAAACAAACAAACAAACAAACAAACACAAATAAGCACACGCAAACAAACTAACACACACAAACAAACACACACACACAAATAAACAAACACAAACAAACACACACAAACAAATAAACAAACAAACACAAACAAACCAATACAAGCAAACAAACACACAAACAAATACACACAAACACACAAATAAACAAACACGAACAAACACACAAACAAACACACAAACAAACGCAAACGAACATACAAACAAACAAACACACACAAACAAACACGCACACCCTAACACACACACACACACACACACATGTACAGGGTGAACTCTATTCTCTCTCTATTTTAATTCGTAATAATATTTCAATTTTCTACTTCTGAGTAACCTATTTTAATTAAATAATAATACAAATTGTCAATCAATAACAATGTTATCATGACATTACCTGTCACTGTCACAGCCTACCATATAACATTGTCCATGAGTAATTAGGCCTCCACCGCCTAATTAGTGAGATTTAGTTAGAATACCTATACGCATTTATATTATAAAATTAGAACAGAAACAGCAATTTGGTATGATGGTAGATCTAATTGAATACTCCATACTGGTAAAACAGAAATTTATAAATCGACCCATCCATACTAAATTACCATACCGTGCTATAATAATAAACACATTTTTTGTAAATATTTCTTTATTAAAAAACAGGCTAAGAATTAAAAAATAAACTACAATTAAGATGTGTTAACATTACAAAAGAAACTAGAAATTGGTTAAAAAAGGTAAATGACATACAGATATACAGATTTATTATAACTGACACTTTAATATATGAACAATAAATATTTAAAACTTGTTACAATATACATATAAAATATTTTTTGCGCGTCCTTTTCTTTACTGAAACTTTGAGTTGGGTCAGCTAAGAGTTTATAAATACTACGAAAATAATATAAAATTTTTATTTTTTCGAAATTACAACTTACAAATTATGAGTATTGTAAAAGTATCAAAATTGTAACAGCAGTGTCATTAAACTTTAATACAATTTCTTGTAAAACTGATAAACTAGTATTATAGAGAATATATATCATATTGTTAAATGAAATTTATTATTGATGCAATAATAAAATCAATTTCATCAGAGTAAAAAGTAATATTTTTTTTCTGTCAGTGGTAAACACAACCTGTCATACAAGACATTGACATTTTTTTTAAGCGAGTAATCTTACGTTTCTATTTGCTTTAAATCAACTCTACCTCTTCCTTCTTCAAAGCGAATTTATTTAGATGAAAGAATTGATGATAGGCAATAGTCACCATGATACATATGATTATTAGCAATGCTATTACAATAACAGATAATAACCCTGTGTAATTAGGAAACTCAGTTATTTTTTCATAAGGACCAATTAATTTTTCTATTGTACTATCACTGATATCGTCGTAACGCGTTTTTTCGATATTCTTTGCATTTAAATTTTCTAAGTATCTGTAGAAATTGCTTGTTTTGAAGTCTTTGTTTAAATAATTGAACATGTCAGTTTTTCCGAAGTACTCAGTGGATTTATTTGTGTTTGAAATTTTTTCCAACTCTCTTGCGATACTTTTAAATGAACTGGCTATCTCTTCCAATTTTCCTTCATCTAACTTTTCTGTTTTATTAGTATTTAATCTAAAATTTTCGAAATATTTAAAGAAGCTAGTGTTTTTGAAGTCAGTATTGAGGTAATTGTACATTTCACTATTTTTAATATCCACTTTCATGTCGTTGGAATTTGATGTTACTTCGTGTAAAAGCTTTTTATTAAGAGCACTATAATCAACGTTTTGCGTGTAGTTAGAATTAATGGATTTTTTTAAACTTTCCAAATATTTGAAAAACTCAGTCTCTTTGAAATCTTGGTTGAAATATTTATACAAAAGAGTTTTCGTAAAATCTTCGTTGAAGAAACTGTTAAGTTTAGAATAGTCTAAATTAATTTCCGACTTTGAAATATTAACACTTGAGTTTTCGGAAGTTTCGTGACATTTGATACCGTAGATATTACTTTCATCTAGGAAATTTCCTTTGGAAATAAAGATATTCTTACGTTTCAGTTTGTACACAATGTTAACTAATTTCTGACAAGACCATGTATTGTTTATTAAATTTATTTCCCTTAAATGAGGCAATTGTTCGTATATAACAAACGTGTTAACATCGCTTATTTCGTTGTTTTGTATAAACAAATGTGTCAATTCACTCAGTGAATGGAACTGTGGTATTGCTTTAAAATTATTTTTAGAAATATCCAATACTTGTAAATTTACTAAATTGTCAAGAGTGCCGAATTTGAAATACGTTAGCTTATTTCCGGATAAGTTTAAATGTGTCAGTGAATTTAAATCTTTGAAACATGAATTTGGCACGGAAGACAGATTATTGTTGTCTAAATAAAGATGTTTCAAATTATACAGACCAAAAAATGTGTCAACGTTGAAAGATGATATTAAGTTAAAACTTAGGTAAATTTCCGTCAAACTTTTACTTAGCAAGTCGCTACCTAAGGTCTGTATACTATTGTAACTTATGTCCAAAACGTTAACATTGTCGTTTTTCTCGAAATTGTTTATTCTGTTATGACTCAATATTACAGTATTAGCTTTAGATGCATTGAAACCTGTTGTTTTGGATATATTATTAAACGAGAAATCAATGATTGGCGTTTCTTGTATCATCTCAAAATCCACAATTTCGATTTGATTATGACTTAAATTCAAGCTTTGTACCTTTAAACCATGGAAACTAGTAATATTGCTTAAATTATTGTAAGACACATCTAAAACAGACAACGATTTTAGAGAACTGAGTAATACTTCCCCTAGGTTCGAAATATTGTTATGCTTCAAGTACAACGTTCTTAAGCTAACTCCGGAAAAAGCGTGATTAGTGACAGTTTCTATTCGATTCCTTGATAAATCCAGTTTGTCCAACGTCGCTAATGTGTTGAATATTCCATCTGATATAGTTGTTAACTCATTTTGCCCTAGATAAATTTCCTTAAGTCTCTCCAGGTAATTAAAGGCTGCAGGCATAATAGTTTTCAACTTAACGTTCTCCATATAAAGTGTAGTTAAGTTCTTTAAATTTTTGAATGTCGACGTGGCCAGCTCTGGGACTTCTGAATTGACCACGTACAACGTCAGGGGATAAGAGAAAGGAAAGTCTTCTTCCTGTTCTTCATACGACTTTAAATCGTTACTTGATATGTTGTTGCAGCTAATAGTTTTTGAAATAACAGATTGATAATAACCACAATATGAATTTCTACAATAATATCTTCTTCCCAAATATTCCCTTTCGGTGTCTTCAGTACAGGTAATTTTGTTCGTCGAAGAAGGTTCTGGCGGTATTTGATAGGAAAGTTTTGCACACGCTAATATGCATGAGAGCAAAACTAGAATTTTACGTATCGCCCTGAAACAAGAAGATATTTCTCTTTTGAAGTGCACTGATTAATTTAGTTATTTGTAAAAAAATAGGTTTTCATAATAGTTAATATATGTTATATTTCTAATTTTTTGTATCTCTAAGTACGTAGGTGTACAATAAAGAAAAATTGTAAATAATTATTGCATTATAAATTTTTATTCTATAATATTTTTAATATTGTCTCAATAAAAAACAGTTTATTATAGTCCAATTAAATAAGCCTTTAAATCGAAATTTGGTCAACTTGGCTGAATTTTTTATATGAGTTAGTTTAAGGTATATTATAGCAATAAGTGAGAGTAATTTTTTGTTCAACCTCCGGCCAAGGGTGAAAAAAGATAAAACAAAGAGGTTTTTCAAGATAACTCAAAAAGGGTAAGGGTTAGAAAAAAAAGTATCATAAAAGTTGTAAAGCATACAATTCTACATAAAAGTGGCCTCTTGATTTTTTCTCGTACTATTAAAATTAACAGAGTTAGGGAGGCTAGAAGTTAAGGGAAGATTTCAGAAATTTAAAAAAATCAACAGAAAAATGAATGAATTTTGTAATTTTTTTTTCAATCTGCTCTAAAAAATGTAACTTTTCTTTTCAGAGAAATAGATATATTTTTTAATTTTTAATAATAAAGTTATAACAAAATCAAATTTTTAATCGTTAATTTTAATGATTTAACAAAACTAAAACAATGTTTTTTCTATACTATTCGATTGATTATTTAAAATAATGAAAAGTTGTCTTCGAATTTTTTTTTACGTTGGTTTCTTAGACAGCTACAAATTTATTTACCTTTTTATCTTCTGAATTTTATTTAGCTCCTACGACACTGCAAAGACAAAGACAAAAAAATCACGTTCGCTTTGTCGCACCATGGTACCGAAGTCGTGGTCATAGTATGCCTATGACAAAGATAGATTATTTCGTTCGCTATTGTCAATGCGCGTGCGTTAGTAAACGTGTGTTTCTTTGAATTATTCTTAGCTCAATATCCATTGTTAATTTCAAAAAGGTAAATATTAATGAGGACTAATATTTTTGAGATTAAATTTTGTAAAAGCTCGATATTTTTACGCATTCTTGTCTATGTAAAACGTGGAAATATATTTATTAATACTTGTAGACTTTGAATTGTATTAATAATAACATAGTGATAAGTGATAATAATATAAATATATATCATATAATTTTTTTGTCCAAAACATTAAGAGAACAAGAAATTTTCTTACAAGGAAACTATCCCAACCCGAACACTCCGATTTTCAAGATTTTTATATATGTTGTGGAACATAAAAGATTAAGAGACACGTATTTTTTTACCGACGGAAAAACATTTTTACAGGTTGAAATACATCCTCGAAGTTCGACCCCAAAATAGTTTTTTCTAAATATCTGGGGTTCTAATCAATATTTTGAAATGAAACAAAATGGAAATTATTTATTATAAAAAACAAATATTTCGGAAGTGATTCCGTGTTTGGGGGTTGCTATCCTTATTTTTTATTTCAGAAAAACTATATTTTTTTTATAAAAAATTCATATTTACTCAAGGAGAGTTAAAAATATGATTTATGTAAACAAATTGACAAAATTAAATTGACCTGTTTCGGGGTTTTCGTTAAAATTTCTTGTTTAAGGGGTGAACAACCCCTTAATGAGAAAAATGCCTGTACGATTAGAATTAACATTGTAAAATAAAAAAAATGCTTTTTCTCTAACCATCCGAATAATTTTTTCTTTTAGCCTAAAACAGATTTAAACGGATGCAAACTACCCCTCGTGTTCACCCCCAAAAATAATATTTCCGTGATAACTCGGATTCTAATCAATATTTTGGAATGAAACAAAATGGAAATTACTTCTTATAAAAAAAAACATATGTTTCACAAGTGATTCCGTGTTTGGGGGTTGCAACCCTTATTTTTCATTTCGGAAAAACTATAGGTATTTTTCAAATATTTTTTATGTATAAAAAATTCATATTTGCTCAAAAAAATTAAATATATGATTTATGTAAACAAATTTACAAAATTACGTTCTCTTTTTAGGGGGGTAAACAACCCCACCCCATAGTGTGCGAAAGATGTCTGTACGATTAGAATTAACACTTTACAATAACGGCCGATGAACCATGGGGACTTTCCGACCCTGTAATCTACGCCTACAACTAAGGATCTGCTTGTATCGCTCAATGTTGCGAGAAAGAAGCAGTATACGGAGGCGGCCAAGAGCGGCCAAGAAACACGGCGCGCGCGCCTTATTAACAATAAAAAAGGAATTATTTAAGAATTTTGGTAACACTAAAAATTGCAATTTTTAATATAGTTTATTGACGTTGAAAATGGTTAAAATCGCGTTTTTTTGAACAAAGAATTATTATATTAATAATTCTTCTATCTCGAAAGCGGTAGATTTTAGAGAAAAGTTGCATAGTGTCTTTTTTGTTCAGGATACCCCAAAAAAAAATTATTTCGAGTGAAAAAATTGGAGATTACGAATTTGTTTAAAAAAAATTGTTTAAACAATTTTTGACCATCCTCATTCGACCACGTCTGGCAAGATGCGGATATGTTTCAAGGATCATTCTTTTAGTAAGATATTGAAAAAAAATCGAATGAGAATCATGTCCATAGCGGGAGCGACGATACAGCCTGGACTATATGTTGAATTAGATGTACCTACCTACTAGGTATATCATATGATATTTTGATTGATTTAAAATAGATTTTTTTTATCAGGGAAGTGTTCAATTCGACTGAATTTTGATAACGTAACAATTGATTAAGACATAATGTGCATAGCTTGACCATCATATAGTGTTTGGCTGTTATTCGCAGACTGTAACAATTTTGATGAATCAAGTTTAAAGCACAAATAGAACCTATTAAATTAATTTGAATATCTTTATTATGCTTAAAACAGATTTAAATCAAATAACAACTGCATAATATTAGTGTTGCCTTCAAAAGTTTTTATAATACTGTTGAGTGAGTCCTATTTCCATCACAACGATAATACATACACGTAGATATCGGGGAGGGATGCCACTTTTGACCTCAATGTTTACGCCACTGACGCAATCGTAATTTAAACCCTAATTTTTGTTCCTTTGATAACTTTTGAGGTGAGTCGTATTAGTCTTAAATCGAAAAAGTGTACCAATTGGGAGACAATGACACTTAAAAATCAGAATGCACGACTTTTACAGTGGCGCACATGGTATGGTCTTATGGAAAAACTGTTTGTTAATCAATTTTCGTAAAATTTGATACATTGTTAAAACTTAAAATATTGTTAAACAATGGTGTTAATTTCTCGCGGATTGAAGGAAAATTATTTTAAAATAATGAATATTTATAAACTTTTTAAAGTGCTTTTTATTGAGTCCTATATATTACACAAAACGATAGTTTTTATATTTTTTAAATAACCAAAAAATTATCTACTATTCGATTTCATATCACATTTTTCAATTTTCTCGCCAAAACATCTACGCAATTGATGATAAATTTCTAATCAAAACTATGAAAGTAAATGAGACTATGAGTGTAAATTTGTTAAAAAACTAGAGATTTATAATTTTTTATATTTAACCACCGACATTCAGAATGTGTTTGGGTTTTGAATTTTGAAAATACTTTTTCCAAATTAGTTCTTTCTGGTAAAAGTAAAACTTTGTTTTGGATACTCATTATTAATCTCTTGCAAAATATTTAAAAATATAAATTATTAGCAAATCAGTAGGTAATTATTAAACAATAACTACATAGAACACTTACATGATTTTTCACTCAGTTCACTTCAGTCTTCCTTTCGCCACTTTTGCCTATTGAATAGTATTTTGCAACATAAGCATTTTATATACAGCTTATCTATGCACGAATATAACTTTGTTTCCGTCTGGCCATATTTAATGCCAGGGAGATCACATAAACCTTATTTTCTTTATTTACTTATTGATATCAATAGAAATTATAAAGGTCCAAAATTAGTAGGTACCAATGAAAAGTAAACGTATTAAACAGATAAGTGTAATTATAGCAGTTCCCTTATCTTAGAAACATTCAGATAAGTAAAATGTATTTGATCTTGAAATAATTTTAGAATTAGGAGTTGTAAAAATTACGTCCAAATTTATAAACATTAGGTATACTTATCTACGAAATATTAATCCAACGCGATTTTTACCAAAAAATGTCTGTCGTTCATTCTTTATTCATTCAAAAATATTGTACAACCGATAATGAACAATGAAAGTAAGAATATTTAAATTATAGATTAAAATATAACAAAAAAAATATAAAATAGTTAAAAAATATATGACATACTTACCAATTTAAATTCTAAAAACAGGCTTATTTTAATTTTTGTTCAGTTTTCATAAGAAGCAAAGTATTTATGTTTATTAATGGGTAATTTATAGAATGTTTTATATGATTTTTTAACAATGACAATATGAAGCGTATTTAAATAGTGTAAATAGAGTTTTTAATAAATACTAACATTAAATAAAACGAGTATTTTATTATAAACGTTACTTTTTACTTATCATTTAAGTTACCTATAATCAAAGTCCGCTCTGCAAAAAATATAAAAAATTATGAGTATGTACAGGGTGATTCACCATATATTGACCCCCCCTTTAACTTTTTTATTTTAAGAGCTATAAAAAAATATTAAATATAAAATTTGCACGATTTTTTATGAATTTTTCGAAAATGATAGTAGAAAAACAAATGAAGTCCAAACAAAATGTCCGCGGATGTTAACTTTGTTAAGTTAAATGGAACACCCCGTATATTTTTACATATTTGGATAGAACTTTCCCTGTAGAGCATAGCCATATAGGGTTTGTTGGGTCCATCTCTAACAATAAGCAAGATACTTTTAAAAAACGAAAAGAAGGTTTTTTATTAAGAAAATAATACATCTTGTAATTGTTAGACCTCTTTCAGGCATTTCTGACTTTTTTCCAATTACGTAAGGATTTACAGATTTAGTTATAATATATTTTGACATATCGGACATTGATATGGTCCAAAATGCGTATAGGTAATGTAACGAAATATCACTAATTAGGACGTGAGAGGTCTAATTACTCATGGACATTATAATGATAGGTCGTAACAGTGACAGGTAGTACACAGAAGTAGAAAATTATTTAGAATTAAAATAGAGTATGCAGAATAACTTTGCTCTATTTTAATTCCTATAATATTTCAATTTTCAACTTCTGTGTAACCCATTTTAATTAAATAATAATACAAACTGTCAAACAATAACAATGTTGTCATGACATTACCTGTCACTGTTACGACCCAGAAATGGCTGAAAAAGGTTTAACAATTACAAGATGTCTTATTTTTTTAATAAAAAACTGTCTTTTCGTTTTTTAAAAGTATCTTACTTATTGTTAGAGATGGACCCAACAAACTCCATATGGCTATGCTCTACAGGGAATGTTCTATCCAAATATGTAAAAATATACAGGGTGTTCCATTTAACATAACAATGTTTAACATCCGCGGCCATTTTGTTTGGACTTCATCTGTTTTTCTACTATCATTTTCGAAAAATTCATAAAAAATCGTGCAACTTTTATATTTAACATTTTTTTATAGCTCTTAAAACAAAAAAGTTAAAGGGGGGTCAAAATATAGTGCATCACCCTGTACATGCATGCATAATCTTTTCAAAAATATAATTTTATTTCCACTAGAGATTGGTCACCTATAAAATGCATAATAAATATGAAACGCAATTCATTTCTCGTTATTATTCTAATAACAAGATGACTGATACTCTCTGTTAATCCCAGAAAGAAACATCAAAATATGTGTGTTATACCGGGTGATTCAGTTTGGTATTCGCGGCCCTGATCTCTTTTATTTTAACAAATAGCTATAACAAACCCTATATATTTTTAAATCGCCGCTCAAACTCTATCAAATGACATTATTAGATCGTCTCCATGGTAACATATGTCAAAATTGCTATAGTCAACTGTTTTTGTTCAAATGGCACACTATATATTTTTTTATCAATTCTGGAAGATATTTTATTTCTGCGTTCAACTATGTAAGGAAGTCTATAGTTTCATTAGAAATATTGCTAGAAAAACAGCAAAAAAATGCATCCTACTTTTCGTAGCTTTATTCTGAAAAATGATAGCCAACTGCGAAAACAAGTTACTATGTTTTTTTAAAGTAACATATTTTATTTTCAATACGATAATAATATAACAATTTAAAACAATATTTATTTCAAATGTTAAAAATGACCTCCATTTGCTTCCAAACACAGAATAGCTCTGTTTATCACTCTCTCTCTACAAATACATTCTAGTGTTTCTTCATTAATCTTCGACATTCTACTCTTATTCTGTTTTTAAGGTCGTCAATATCATTTAAAGGCAAAAAGTAAAAACTTTTTTTTTTAGGTAACGCTAAAGAAAGAAATCTATAGGAATGAGATCCGGACATCTATAGCAGGCCATTTAACATCTTTATCGAATGTTCTTTATCTCTTACCCTTCTGGGTTTAAAAACTCTTCATTTCTTTTGAAAACCGTCTGCTGCCAAATTCCTGGCGAACTTTCCGAAAATTTTATCCGATGGAAGTTGTCTTTGCGGAAAACGATGTTGGTATAAATACCTGGCAACTTTAGCCTTCTTTCAACACTCTCCATAAATGAAAATCATATCTAGTTTTTCTCGGTTACTATAAGTAACCGTAATGTTATAGTAATAATAATTAGTTATAGATAGAATAGGTAGGTACAAAATGTCAATTATTTTGAAACATCGTTATTTAGAAACGTCAAAATTCAGTTGTTTCCGCAGCTGGGCTATCATTTTTCAGAATAAAGCTACTGAAAATAGGGTTAATCTTTTTTGCTGGTTTTCTAGCAATATTTCTAGTGAAACTATAGACTTCTTTATATAGCTGAATGCAGATAAAAAATATCTTTCAGAATTGATAAAAAAATATATAGTGTGCCATTTGAACAAACACAGTTGACTATAGCAATTTTAACATATTATGTTACCATGGAGACGATCTAACGATGTCATTTGATAGAGTTTGAGCGGCGATTTGAAAATATATAGGGTTTCTTATAGCTATTAGATAAAACAAATGAGATACGAGGCCGCGAATATCAAACTGAATCACCTGGTATATTTCCAAGATACAATTTTTTTTATATAAAATAAAAAATATATTTATACTGAATATTATATTCGTTGTGGGATAATATATCTGTTATTTTTAGAATATGTATGTTAGTTTACCACATTGTACCCATTATAAAATTTAACATAGATATAGGGTATGTAAACAGTGATGACATTACCACGTCATTTTTGAAATTATAATGTGCTCATTCAGTAATATTTAAATCAAAAACTTATTTTCACATATTCTTTGAGCACTTAACATCCTAAATATGTAGTGAAAATATTGATAACTATTATTATTAACTATGATCGATAATTTCTAATTACCCGACGCGACGCGACGGCTCTATGCACTTTAGCCAATAAGTATTACTCCAAGTTATTTATTTGTAATATAGTTTTAGTTTTTTTCCTTATTTATGGTATAACTATTTTTGCGTAATCAAATATTGCATACTGAATATAGCAGATAAATAAAAAATACGCATCACTTCAATTGAATACTCCGGGGCATGTCGATTTTTTTATAAAAATATATTTTTGCAAATATAGGTTTAAAATGTACTCTTCTAGTACAAATATGAAATCTGAGCTACAAAATAAAAGCACTTATACTGTGCTGTACACCAGAGCAAGAACGGGACAAATTACTTATCAGTTATTTCCTGTTTGCACCACCTACACGTTGATTTTTAGTGCTTAGTATTTGCTTTGGCCATTTGTTTACTTTAAATATTACAGTTTTTATAAATATATAAGATATTTAATAATCTCGTACAAGAACAACTATTTGGGATTCACATCTTCCATTTGGGATAAATTTAAAAATAAATAAAATATTTCCTTATTTCTTGCATCATAAATGAAAAAACTAACGTAAAAAAAGAAATACATATACTGTCCTCTCTCTCACATTTAGGATAAAACTGTATTACGTTTTCTCTCATACAGTATCTAACAAAAATGGCAATATTCAATTAGGTACGTCATTGCGTGAGAAAAGGGACGATATGCATGTGAGACCTAATCAAGCTAGCTGTTAACGTGTGGTATGGCGTCACAATATGGCTTCCCTTTGTATTTCCGCGCTCCATTGTCATTTATTGTTTTGAGGGAAAAATTGTTGAAAAAAAAAATCTGATTTTTTGCGCATCAACTAACTGCGAAGTGTACTTTCTGAATAATAATTATAAATATGCTAATTAAGTCCATTACCTACAACTTTATTAAGAAAATACAGATACTAAGTTTTTACACAAATAGGTAAATAAAAAAAAAAATTTAAATATTACCCACATATGTATATTTTGACTCATGTAGTGTTGCAATCCAAATACAGTGTGTTAAACATAAAAAATTTAACTTTTTCGGAATTATAAGACTGCATAACGATTTTCTAATAAATTGCTGAACGGATCAATTTTTATTTCGAGGTAAATTTCATTATGAGCATGTTTTCTTTTGAAAAATTCTTGGATTTTTTTTTATATACTTTTCGCGACAGAAAATTTTAAAAAATCTTAAATTGCTCAATTAGAGAGATGGACAACATCACTTTAATATCAAGATCATTCACCTCAAAATAAAATTGATCTCTTTCAGAAAAATTTTAAAAACTTACCATATAGTATACAGTATATAGAATACACACTATTACAGCGAAACTCAAATTATTTCTAAACCAGACTATAATAAAAACTCACGGGAAAAATATTTTTTATAAAAACTTGTGCCAGATCCAGCTTTTGT